ACGTGCGGGCTCTCAAGTCGGCCGGTTTAAAGACCGTGCCCCAACAGAGCAACATGTCGGAGTGGCTTGCTTTTCGGAAGTGCCTTGATGTTCAGGGGGATAGGCACGCAGGGTGGGAGGACATCTTTTCTACGGTCCTCGCTTCGTCAACCATCCTGGCACAGGGCAACAGGACAGAAGACCTTGAGTTGGCCGCAGGATTCATGCAATGCTTCACTGCGCAGTCAATGGCAACTGACGCCCTGACGAACGTGCCGTGGGCAAAGGAGATCCGCCATCTGTCCGAGCTCGAACATGACTCGCTGTGGGATCTGAGCTTGCCTACTGAGTACGTCCCTGGGACATCAAGGCCGGCGGTAGACGTCGTGCCCACCATCTATGTGGTGACTTCCGATTCAACTTTGGCTCTGATCACTGGAAAGGGTAAGACTTTGAAGAAGTACACCTTGAAGGAGGATCTGGGATTGCGAAAGTCGGACATGGTTCTCGAAATCGGTCATGACATGCTCTGGGGTAAGGATTTGCAACAGCTCTGCAAAGCAAATGTTTCCATGATCAAGGAGCTGATGGCGAAATATTCTTCTCATGGATCAGCCATCAGGGTTATTTCGGTAATCTTTTGGTCTGGGAATGAAATTTGTGGGGAATATGGTGTTGAACCCCTTCCCATTTGGGGGCAGAGGGAACCACAGGGCGACTGGAATGCCATCATGGACAGGGTCAAAGGCAACATCGTGTGGTGGAACAATCAGCTCAAGGAGTTGGGAGTGGATCAGGCCGCCCTAATCGGCGAGCCCGACCCGCTCACTTATGGATTGAGTCTCATCTTCACCACGTTTGTTGATCGACTGAATTCAGGAATGGTTCCACAAGGAGATTGCCAGTGACAACGATCGGATTCGGTGGATTCAGAATGACAAGCTTCCACCGAGGCTTGAGCTCAGGGACTACTTTCACGCATTCGAGACCGAGCTCAACCGAAGTGAAATGATCGGATATGTCATGGCAACTCTCCACATGTTGCACATGACGGACATCTTGATTCCTCAGTACAACCTGTCTTTGTACAAGCGCAGGCGCCCTGCAGGAGAGGCTACAATGCGTGATGTCCCACCAAAGATGGAGCACCTCCCAGTCAGGTTTGTGCAGGTTCTCAATGCTCTCCGGGAGAAGACGAACAAATCTGCACCGAGCGTCTCGACCCCAGAAAGCTTCACAGCAGAGGAGTTGAGAGCTCGCCCGACTGATGCTGGTGTCGCCGAAGATGATGATGAAGAAGGCGACCCATGGGATGCTCTGGATCCCGATGAGCATGAGGGCCCATCGGTGGGCAAAGCCAAGGCCAGCCACGCAGCTCCACCTGACCCCAAGGCGAAAGCTCCAGCGACACAGGAGGATTCAACTCAGGCCACCTCAGCTGGTGAGCCCCTGCAAGAAAACGAGATCAAGGGTACCATCATTCCGAAACATGCACTTGGACACCTTGACAAATATCGTATCACTTTGGACGAAAACATCAATGCAGAAGTAGTTGAACATTGTGTCGTTGATGCCCATCCCTACGAATTGATCGTCAAAACCTGTTGGGAGATGGATGGGGCAAAGGAGCTGAGGTACCCAGATCGCATGGACCGACACAAGACCAAGGTCAATGCAGTGACGCGTGGACAGCCGGGTCAGGACACCTCTGGATTTGATGAAAACATGTGGCTTGACCTTGATGACTTCTTTCGAATGTTCAACCAAATGCTGCCAGCCAGGTTGCCCAGAATGACAGTTGAAGAGCTTATTTCATTGCTCTACTGGGACAGCAAGTGCCGTTTTGAGTTCCAGTGCATTGCCGGGTACCAGAAGGCAACCCGTAAAGGGTTAGCCTACTGGCCCATCAGGATCCGTGCAGTGCAGGGGCATACGAAACGTGCCATGGATGCCGCTTCAGCTGAGGACACGTTCAATGCAGTGGAAATCTATGCTCTGTCTGGAGCAGCAGCGATCCAGAAAATGAACGCCAAAGGTAAGATTACCACTCCTCAGATGTGCCCTGGCGTAGTTTATCACAGGACTACAAAAGGCAATTGGAAGGGCATCATTGAGAATGGCTTCATGGCTGGAGGAGGAGAACGAAATTCATCAGGCAGAGCACACTCCTATTTTAGCGATGTTCGTGTCGATGAGAAAGAGTATGTGAGCGGTTTGCGTGCTGAGCGACCCATTGAAATCAGGGTTGCAATGGCAGAAGCTGTCAAAGCTGGAATTGTGTTTTTCAGGACAGCCTCCGACGGCATTCTTACAAGCGACGTCGTCCCGCCACAATACATTATTTCTGTCGATGACACTGCCAAGAAGGTGAATTTGTATCGTCGCCAGCAGGAGGTCGCACAGTCTGCAGCGAGCAGTGGGGGAGAAGTTGGAGTCCAGCAGCTTGTCGAGACCTTTGAGGCCAAGGCATCAAAACGGACTGGTTCCACGTCTCCGGCCGCCTCAACTGGCGCGCCCACTGCAACGGCATTTTTCCCAGGAAAGGTGAAGCCTCCGCCACCAAATGTGGCCCAACTTGCCGGTATGCCTGGATATGCAAGCAGCAGATTGTTGCCCCCTCCTCCGAAGGGTGAAGCTCCGAAACCTCCTGCAGCAAAGGTTGAGAGCCCAAAGACACCGCCAAAAGCACCTCCAAAACCACCACCGAAGGAAGGGACTTCTGCACCTCATGCACCAGAAGTTCCAAAAGCTGTGACCTCAGAAGTTGATGCAGCAGCAAAGGATGAACCTGGAAAGAAGAAGGCAGCCCTGACAAGCGTGCCCGCAGCTGTGCCTGCGGCATCATCAGCTGCGGCCTTCTTGGAGCCTGTTTCAAAAGTTGCACCGCCGAAGGCAGTACAGAAAGATCCAAAAGCTCCAGTTGCAGACCAAAAAGACGCCGGCATCAACATCAAAGTCACTGGTGCCAAAGCAGAAGTCTCGCCCTAAAGACGATGACCAACCTTCGAAGAAAGAGGTGAAGAAGGAGGACAAGAAGCCGGTGCCGGTCAAGATTGAAGTCACGCAATGTTCAAGATGTTTTGCACAGACTTTCAAGGGACAGATTGAATGCGATGTGTGTGGATTGATGCTCGAAGGGGTGAACAAGGCCGACCGAACCAAGATTGCAGAACGCAGGAAGGCCGCCCTTCACAAGCTGGGCTTGTACTATGATTTTCGTGGTGAGTACCTGCAGAGCATCACACACAGCCAGCTTGAATCTTTGGGTTTGTTGGACGACCAGGCAAGAGGAAGCTCTAGCCCGGAAGCCGGTTTATTGGCAAGGGCAAAGAGTCGATTCGACCGTGCCGTGAGCTTGGGCTATGTGTCTGTGGCTGACAGGTTTGCCCAGGACGCCACATTCGCAGAGAGCGTGCTGAACGAGGGGGAGAACGAGTACGATTGTGAAAGGTACGACCTCCTCAAGTCTGCACATCTGCCAAAGCCAGGTCGTACCAAGGCTCAGGTCAAGATGGGTGTTTCTGAGCAATCCCAGCTGGAGCACAATGCGATGAGGCTGGTTTACTTGGACATGGCAAGCCGTCTTGACGTCCCGAAGTCATTCAGGTACATCGACCAGCCATGGTTCTACATGTACCGGACGGAAATCTACTCCGAGGAAGAGTACATTGACTACCTCAACCGGAATCCTGGACACAACCTTTTGTTGTCTTGCACTGGCGTTGACAACATTGCTGTTCATGATGCTGAACGTCATTTGAGGTGGATTAAGGGACAAAACGAGGAGCTGTACAAGCAGAACGCAGCAGAGAAGAAGAAACAGTCTGACAGGGCTCGCGAACAGAACGAGGCCAAGCGCAAAGCTGAGCAGACTGGTGCGTACGGCCAAGGTCCCTCCAAGAAAGGCACCGTCAAACCGGTTGCCCGAACATCCACCGTAGAGGTAGCTTCATCATCCACGTCAGCAAGTCAGTGGCTCAATCGCCCTCAGCAAAGTCATTCCCAAGATGATCGACAGTTCACCAACGAGTGGCAGAAGTGGCATGGGCGCTGGTACCAAAAGGTTATCAGGCATGGCCGTGTCGAATGGGAAGAGGGATAAATTGTGACACTGCTTGCAATGACGATCGATTGTATATAGCCGCTGTACTTTGTATGTGTTTTCCTCAGGTCTGCAAAGAGCTGAAACGGTAAGGCAGGTCTTAAAGACCTCGCCCTGGTAAATGGGCAGCCTTGCCGTAACCGGCTCACCTGAGGGGGGTGTATTTGCATCCCATGTAAAACACCATGTATTATAGATATATCTGACAGCATTGCGGCTCAGTACAAAAAGCGCTGGGTCGCTGGCTTAGCGGTTGTGTTTTATCCCCATTTGTTATAGGTTTATCAGTCTAGTTGGGATAAGTAACATCCCCTGCTGAAACCTGTAAATACAAAACCGAATAGAAATGGCGAACCAAGTGCGGAACCATCGTTCCCCATGCCCTACCCCCCAATGTCAAGTCGTTGATGCCGACACTGCGACACTGCTTGACTTCTTTGACTTCCCATTTCCAAAATCACATGGCCATGTGTCAACATTGTGTCAACATGCCCAAAATGGAGTCCCAGAATTGGTGGAATTTTCTCGGAAACCCACAATTGATCAATTGCAATCTGTATCTTTTCCCCGACATCGTGCCGTGGTCTGTGGTCGTTGTAACCATGGTTTGTTTTCCTCTACATATTGAAGGATACCCATAGATCAAGTTAGGACATCAAAGTCCTGAATTCGGATGCTTTCCTTTGGTGCATCATGTACGGCAAATCCACTGAGACGAGAGTTTCAACCTCATCCAAGTTGGCCAAATACCCTTTTGGGATATCTATGGATATCTTGAGGGTTTACAGATCAACCAAATTGATCCAGATTTATCTTTTGTTGTAGATTAAACCACCATTATCCACATCTTCGAGCATTTTCTCAGCCTTTTCCTTCAGAAAACCTCACTCTCTTTTTGTCCCCTGGATGGGGCTTCTAGGTTGGCACAGTCCGTGGAAGAAAAACGCCAAGCTGCGCTGGGGAGCCTGGTTCTTTTTGGCGTCTTAATGCAGAGGGCCCCAAGATGGGGATTATAAATCGATGGGTTACATTAAGTTATCTTGATTCATAGTCTATTCATTGTAAGTTGGGATTCTAGGTTATTGATATCGGTGTTTGTGTTTTAAACTTAAACATAGACTCGTTATATTTAAGATCATTTAACATGATTCAAACAGTAAATGATACCCTGTTTGTGTCTAAAAACGCTGGATTAATACGGATTTACATCCAATTGACCGCCATTGAATTGCGAATTTAACGATTTATAGAGGAATACAATACAACGGATTGGAGGGGTATACCAACTGTTTGGACAAAGCCACAGGATTTTCACATGATGTTTATGTTAGATTAGGGACCCAAGAGGACATTAAATGGGGGTTGCCTTAAATGGGGGGTACCCCAAAATGGATGCTTTATAATAAAAAATCATGGAAAATCCTATGAAAATGTATGATGAACAGGGGTACCCGGGTACCCCTATTTTAGGAAGCCTCCAAATAAGGAACGTCATGGTTTGGGAGGTCCAACTTTAAAGAAAAACCAAAGGGCAAATTTCCCACATGACTTACAGATGTGGAATATCCCAATGAACTGGTCCATTATACTATTGGAAGGGTCCTACCACATACTGGAGGATGTGTCCCTTGTTTGCAGGGGCAGTTGATACCCACTGTGCATCCACTGAACGAGCAGACATGTGGAAGCATTTGAGCCGATTTGAGCCGTGAAGTTTCATTTCTTCAGGTCACCGCTTTTTTAGCAACCTTTCGCATTTTCCAGAGAAATGTTAATAACTGCTTGGTTATGGAACATGAATTTTATTTTTCCATATATCGGGAATTTCATCATCCCAACTGACGAACTCATATTTTTCAGAGGGATTTTCATGGTTCAATCAATGAAAGATGACCTTGAGAACTGCAAATTGTGGCCTCTTTGGAATCAGAAACACCATCCCGCGTACCATTTGATACCCAAAGTTTGACCCATATCCCTCACTGTCTCAGAGTGGATCCAAGTGAACTTAAAAATATGTCCCTGTTTTTTTTCACAACTCCAAAATAGATACGTAGAAAAGTGGGAAATCTGGAATTTATATGAATTTATGACTTTTACGTGTAATGAAACATCCAAGAATTGTCCTGTCATCCAATATGTTTTGGGGAATCTCTATAATCCAGAATTTCTGAAAAAACATACATATTTTGGGAAATTCTATGCATCCAGATTTTTTTGGGAATCCTTTGTTTTGGGAATTTCTGAAATACCGGGATGACAGGGATGTCTCAAAGAAAGGAAATCTGTCCACGCAGGTGTGAGGACATAGCTTCGATCCGGGCCTCCAAAAAGCGCATTGAGGATGGGGAATTGGCCCATGTCTTGTCACGGAGGATCATCATCGATCCTGCAATCATCTGCATAGACATTTATAATCATTTAGATGCAGTCATATGGTATTATAATCGATTATCATGGAGACATTTATTATCATATGGTATATAGCATCTATATTATGGTATATTAGTATATGAAATATGCATTTGTCTATGTTTTTTCATTTTTATCATCTGCATAACTAATGGTATATGGAACTTGAAAAAGATGCTATATAGATGCTATAATGTTAACCCTGGATTAATAAACCCCTAGATTGTTCAATTGGCAGGGTACCATTTAAGTATCATATTATGACTATTGGAGGAGTACCCCCCTAATTAATAAACCATGGTTTATTAATCCGGGGTTGACATTATAGATGATATGAAACTAGATGGATGCCCCGAGAATAAAACAAGAGGATTTACCATTTGGTTATGACTAACAGTTCGCCATGGAAAGATCCACCATGCTATCAATAGGTAAACCATCTATTTTCTATGGGCCATCTATACCATGGCTATGTTAGTCATAACTAGAGGGTATGATTTGTGATGATTATTGAAGTTGCTAAGGCAGTTACCCTCTGGTTATGTCAAAATAGCTATTGAAAATGACCATAGAAATAGTTGATTTCCCTATTAAAATGGTGAATCTGTCCATAGTTATGTTAGTTTACCAGAGGGTAACATTCCAGAAATGATTTTCTGGTTGAGACTGGAGATTCTTTTCATCACGCATCGGGTGGATTAGGCCATGAACCATTCACCGGGAAAATGGTTTGTTTTGATCCCTCTGGTGCCCTTTTCTTTGGCTCAGAACATTGACATGTTCAATGGAAAATCACAGTAGCATCCCATATGCTTTGGTGGTTTGGAACAATTTTTGTTTTTCCATAATATATTGGGAATAATGATCCCAACTGACTTTCATATTTTTCAGAGGGGCAGGACCACCACCAACCAGCAGTAGCATCCCATATTTTTTGGTTGCGACCGAGTTTTCTCAACGACCTTTGCAGCAGAACTCTTCCACAGGAGGCTGAGAGGAAAGCAGAGCAGCAGCTCAATGCTTCGACCATCAAACTACAGGCGATCTGGGCAACATTTTATTGGGCAAACCATATGGTCAGTGGGAATTTCAGTAGCCTAAAGTACTGTAGCATATAGTTTTGGCCATGTTTTGTGGGGATATTCCTTTACATATGCCTGAAAAATACGCCAAAAAATTATCCTTATAAATGGTGGGTACCTCCAGTTTAGGTTCCTGAAATGGCCATTGAAATGGTAAACCCTGGTTCTGCACGGTCGAAGCTGGGATGTCTTAAGTCTTTCTCCAGAAATATGGAAAAACAAATCGCCAGCTATTTCCATGCGGGAAATATTTCCGTCCTTGGAGGAAAATCCCCCGCCCTTGGAGAAATCCTGGCCAGACACTGTTGGATGAAAGATCTCCAGATCTGGTCATCCTCCAGGTTCGAATTGCAACGTAGCCTCCGGGAATCAAATGGCTGGGAAATCCTCAGATGATTTTCCCATTGAAATTCCCATAGGCCCATAGGGGATTTGCCTGCCATGTTTGCTTTGAAAACTGCTCCCAGCGTCTGAAATGCCAGGCATGTGCTCGAGGAAAGATGGCGCGTCAGCAGCCAGGGCCTCGGGGCCTCGGGTTTCGGCACCCAAAATGGCTGGAAAGTCCCGATATTTGCTGGAAAGTCCCGAATTTTGGTATATGTATACATTCTATATATATATATATAATATACAAAATATAATGATATTGTATGTAATTAATAACACATATTTTTTGGATTGGGATTCTCCATTGCCAGGTTAGATTGCCATGGGTACCCAAAATGACCAAGGCCTCTGCTCAAACTTGGAAGCAAAGTGAGCAAAGGTGGCTTGCTACAAAATCCGCAATTTAGTTCGATGATTTTCCCATTTCTAAACCTTCCTTGAGTTCGGGTATTTCCCAGCGGCTTGACTGCAAGAGGGTAACCAAAACCCAGCCATAGCTATTATAGCTAGGCTAAATACGATTAGTCCACTTACAACTTGAGGTTGTAACCGACTTGCTAAGTGGGGTTATAGCATGTTATAACCCACCTTTTGGAGACCTTTTGGAGCCCTGTGAGATCATATAACTGGTGCATTGAGGCGACAGCAGTTGGAGGACAGTACCAGGATCCTTCAGCGTGGCTTTCGTCGCTTGCGCCAGCGCTGGTATCTCGGTTGCACTGGGTTGTGGGTCTCCCGAGATAGCTAACTTGTTTTATAACTATCTAACTATCTATATATGTAGGTTAATTGACTATCGTTGGGGGGAATTATCTATATAGGTTAATTGACTATCCTTGGGGGGTTATATTAATGAATATATAGCTAGATAATCTAGATACAAGAATTTCTCATATGCTATAGTAATATTAATGTATGGTAGATATAGTCTCGTGTGGTATGGTAGATATAACTATTGCTAATGGGGGTTACAAACCAACTTATTCAACTTAGAACGAGGGGGCCTTGTGTAAACGGGAGGGTCCAAGACTTCCACGCACGAATCAAGAACGGGCCTGGAAGTAGAGATTACCATAGATTACCTATCTGGGACTACAAGATACTAGAAACATCTACAAGCCCTGAAAAGCGTTTCATGGAAAATACCTGAAGTTGAGGTCGTTGAGGTCGTTGAGGTCGTTGAGGTTGAGTGTTGAACACCTGGATAGACCATCCCGGAGGACATGCTACCATATTACGCGCCCGTAGCTGTGAATCGATGCATGAAGTGGCATGGTCCACCCTGCGAGGTCTCGCTCCAGAGAAAACAATACGCTTCACATGAGTTACCCTCTGGTAAACTAACATAGCTATTGAACATAGCCCATTTATAATTGATTTGCCTATTCCAAATGGTGATTTTCTATAGCTATGTTAAATTACCAGAGGGTACCCATGACCTTTTTGGCTGTTTTATATAAATCTATATTTGATATACTTCTTTTTAGGATGTGCATGCATTGCCAGGCGGTGAAAGAACCATGTCACATTTCATAGGGAAACTGCGTCGGCCAAGATAGGGCTGAGTGTGGAGCAGGCTGCTACTGGTAATATGATACGGCTTTGTCTGAAAGTAGGGCACACACCCAATTCAAAAGGATTGGTTTAAGGGAAAAACTACAGGAAACCATCGAATTTCCAATTAAATATTGGGCTTTCCTGTAAATGTTCCCTTAAACCAATCCAGCGAAATTCCAAAGGATGATCATGTTTCCCCATGAAAAAGTGAGAATGCATTCGCCCAAGGCAGTTGGGTCGCAAAATGGACTTTGCTGCGGTGGTGCGGGCCGTGAACGGCCAACGCAAGGTGGGGGAACCATAAGAAGTGGCTGCGTTCAACACTGGTTGGTTGGTTGGTTGGTTGGTTGGTTGGTTAGTTGGTTGTGGAGAGATAAATTTACCTCTTAACATCTATTTGCCAGATTTCTTGTGGGTTTTCCAGAAAAAGGACTAAGCGTTGATGAATTCTCATTTTTTGTTGATGATGAGTTCGAGGGTCATACTATTGGACATATATTGTATTGTATTGGGGATATTATCTGATCATCATAATCGAGGAAGGATGTGAATCCCGTTTTAACCGACCATTATCATGGAATGACAGGATTTTGAACATTGCTCACATGATTTTATACATTTTTGCGAGGTCCCCAATCGGTAGGATTTGGGTGCTTTCATAAATCGAGTGTGTACTAAGTTGAACTAATTGTATCCGCTACTCTCTGGCTATTTGTTGCAGTTCGCCAAGTGGAAACTCACCATTCTAAAAAAAAAGGTAAATCATCATGCTTATCATCATGGGCCATGCGGCGATGGCTTCCATAGCTGCCATAGCTATGTTAAAGTTAAATAATAAGAGGTTCAGCTTTTTGGGAAGTATACCTATTATCCACTACTTGTCAATGGTTTTGATGGATGTTGAATTACGATAATTCCCCTCCAACTTCCGATTTCAAAGTGAAGCACATTTTCTGACAATGCGGTAAACCCAATGAGAAACTCATTTTTTTTCAGGAAGGTTTACACCATGTCTGGTAAATTTTGGGATGGTTCATGACTTGGTTTAGCACATTTACATACATTTACTGGTTGGTGGTTCGGAACATTTTTTGTTGTTCCATCATATATGGTAATAATCATCCCAACTGACGAACTCATATTTTTCAGAGGGGTAGGTTGAAACTACCAACCAGATGTTCATTTACCTATGATAGATGTACCATGACCATCCTCAAGGCATCCATGACCATCCTCAAGGCATGGGTTTAGCCCCTGCCAAGGATTGGGCCATGGAGTATCACCTGGCATGTGGATCGCGGGATGCCCTCGGATGTGAGGAGTTCGTGGGGAGACCCCAGCGGTATCTTCGGGGTTGGCTACCCAGCCATGTTTGATCCGGAAAATGGTCGTACTCACGGGATATTTCTATGGATTTGGGGCATGGATTTTGGGCAGATTTAGAGACAACACCAGGTGGGAAAGCCACGGAAGATGCGCAGAAGGGCGTTTTGAAACACACTGGCTATGGGTCCACTATGGCAATATGGTTAGGATTTTTGGGAAAATTCCCCCCAAAGGAGCTGTCTGTTTTGGGAATGCTGCTAATTTTCGCAGATGGCTGAAGCCATCATTCGCGTGTTTTTGGACTCCTGGGGTGGAAAAGAGGTTCAGACATGTCATGACATCGGTTCATGCACCTCAAAATCCTCAAAAGTCTGAGGAAAACACTATGGAACATTATGGAACATTCCAAACACCTTGAGAACTATAAATGACTTGGAGCATTCGAACTCGGCAACTGGTCTTCTCCGGGCAAGGGGATGTCGTGGTCGCTGATTTTGACTCGTCATGACTCTCTTTCTGAGAACTGGAGGGTTTCAATTGAGAAGAGGGATATTGGTGATTGACATGTTTTTTGGTTAGGGAACCTTATCATTGGTTGGTTGCTTTAACCACTTTACTGGGTCCTGTAGAAAGCATGCGGGACTTGTTCTTGAAATTCAGATTTGCTATCGGGCCGACAGTTGTTCGGGCCGACAGTTGTTCGTTGATGAGAGTACTGGACCATTGTTTTGGTTTCAACCCATCCCACAAACCAAGGAACTAAATCAACATATCTAGAGGAACCTGATAATAGTTGAGCAGTTGGCTATTTAATATGACTTATTAAGATATCTATTTTGAGATAATTATATAAGTGAAGAGTGATAATACTTATTTAGTTGATGAAGACCCCCAATGATATATCCCGAATCGATGAAGATCTGTTTCAAGGGAAATCAAGCCAGCTTCAAAGAATTACATACAATTACTATCAATTACTTCTGACCCGTGCAGGGCTTATTGTTCTTTTTCCGTCGCGAGGTTGCGGCTCTGCAGAGGGTGGACGTGAAAATCTCCAAGACGAAGGTGGGTTTTTTCATGTAGCAATGGCAGAAAGGCACCCGCAAAAGTGCTGATGTTTACCCTAAATGGTAAACGTTAACAAATTGAAGCCATGGCCCAGTCGAAATAGTGGATTTACCCATAGAAAAATGGTGGATCTTTCCATGGTTATGTAACAGTTTACTGGAGGGTATTGATGTTTATTGGGGGTCACTTAAAAACAATACGACCTATACTTGGTGGACCATATCAAGGATCATAAGTAGCTTAGTTCACCCCAATGATAAGTGGATTCACCTGACTTATTCGACTAAATAACCAGGGATATAGAACCTAGATTTAGTAAGTGGGATGATCCACCAAGTATGCCCCAGACCCAAGTCCCAGAGATGTTGAATGATTGTGGATTGCTCATGTAATTCGCACATGTGCCGCAGCTCAGCCAGCCAGTAAACGTGGCAATGGATGCTTCCGGTTTAGTTCGATCAGATTCAACCTTCCACTTAGTTTGGGGATTTCAAACCCAGTCATGTTTGATTACCCGAGGGATCCCGAGGGTATATTTATTGTTTGATCTGAGTGTTCTCCAGGATTTCTCGTCGGAAAACTGTGCCCAAAGATGTCTTGCCGTAGCATCATTCGCCGAGTCACTCAACCTGACTACCACTTGTTTTGTCCTGGGCTATTGTCCGTCAAAATCTGCCATTGAACTGGGAGAAAAAAAGATGAGTTTCGCCCCTTTCAATTCCTGAGATTTTTTTGGAATTTCCTAAAATGGGGCTACCCCAAAACCATGGGTTCCAAATACTAAAATATACTAAAATGGTCTAATCCCTATAACTTCGGAACCTCCCCATGTAGGGCGATTAAAAATACCATGGCTCTCCACCGGGCCCCAGGTGGAGAAGCTGTGGCGAGGCTTTGTCCAACAAAGTGAAGATCCCGCGATGCGTTTGCCGACCTTTTGGGCCATTTGCGAGGTGGGGCTTCATGGCATTGCAGTCGGAGTGGAAAGCATTCTTCAAGGGTTTGAACATGTGTCAAAAAGCAGTGGAGCTATGAAATGCTATGAATTTATGGGGGTATCATTGCTATCATCATATTTTTTTGTTTCAAACATACGTGAGGATATTACACTGGTTTTGGTGGCTTGGAACATGATTTTGTTTTTCCATATATTGGGAATTTCATCATCCCAACTGACGAACTCATATTTTTCAGAAGAGTAGGTCAACCACCAACCAGTACATGATATGACCAACAACATGGGATTTGGATGGATTTGGGATTATTTGGGTAATTTCCGTCATGACCTCACCGCGACATCACTGGATGGTTAGTGATGTGCGTTGTGGCGAGCTATCTCGAAAGAGCAGTATTTCAGGTTTGTATTGTTTATTGTAGGTTATATATATATATCCAAATATTTGAGTTTCACAAACAACATGTCAACATGTGTAAAGTGCAAAGCATGTGGACATACTTTGAGTAAGTTGCACATATTTGGATCCTTTCCGTGTTGAGATAGCTGAATGATGTTGACTGTGTCAACACTGTCAACACCCAGCCATCGATGTATCAAAAACTTCGTACCCTCTAGTAAACTAACGTAGCTATAGAAAATCACCATTATCAATATTATCACTGGGTAAATCAACTATTTCTATGGCAATTTCAATAGCTATTTTGACATAACCAGAGGCTAAACCTCCATTTTCCTATGGTTTTCCTATGGTTTTCCTATGGTTTTCCTATGGTTTACCAGTTACCATGGCACCAACTGGTCAACTTTTCAAAAAAAGATCTCCCGTGGTGCCATGATGGCCCGGCATCACAATGATACGATGTTCCCTTCAACGATTTGTGAAGATGATTGCAGTTACAAAAAACATTACTAATAACATTAATGATAATAACACCAGTCAATATGATAACATTAATGATAACATTACACCGAAATTTGTGATTATCAATCTCATACTTCCAACATTAGTGTTGATTGTTGAGGATTAGGACCTGAAATGTTAACAATTACACCACAATTTCAAGGACCTGTCGCAACTTTAGTTTTTTTGTTTGCAAAAAATCCCGGGGCGACAATTTTTGGAGAAACTTGGGGATAGATGCAGCACTTGTTGACGGTAGGTCGATGGTATGTCGATGGATATCTTCCTGAAATTGAAGATTATTGCAGGTAAAATCTGCAGGATACCTTATATTTAGGCTGAAAAGCCATGCTTTCCATTGGTTGAAGAAGAATCAACCACAAAATCTCCCATCAACACATGACATCTCGGGTAATCAAGCAGGATTTGCTTAAAATAAATCCCTCGAATCATTTAGATTCATCTAGTTTGAGCATTTTCCGATGGACACCTCCATGGATCAGGGATTTCCCCCAGCCCTCGAGGCAGTGGCTCAAGGAGACGCACGAGCCGCAGAGTTTGCCGACATGTCGCTGGAGGATGGGTCAAATGGGTCTGGGCCGACTGCTTGGATACTTTAGTTTTATGATGTTTTATGTTGGTAAAAGAATTTCACAAACCATCCCTCAGTCATCAGCATTTTTATTTCAGCATTCAGTCATGGGTGGTTTATTTATGACATTGATTTACCGACGTTACTTTGTAATATTTTCCATGACTGGTACTTGGAAATGTGCCATAGTAGCACAATGTACTTGTACCACATTAGATCATCTAGTTGATACCATTAAAATTAATATACTTGAATCTTTTGCTGTCGTAATGTGCCAACCAGCTAAAGATGTACTTTTTGCAGGGTAAAGATTGGCAATGGAGGATGGAAGTATTTTGGGACACGAGAAAATGGTCCAAGTTGATCCTGGTTGAATCGGATTTCATGGGATATGGATATGGGATATGGGATATATCACCAATATGATCGGCGATGAAAATGGTGTGTTTTTGGCGCCATCAAATTTCATAGGGAAAATGGACGATAAACCATTGGATTTAGGTCACCTACTTTCAAAATCTTTCAAACAAACCTCTTTTTGATTGTCCGAGATTTGTATACCCGGTCGAAAATCTCCTACATACTATAATAGTTCGATGTTTTTTTTGGGATAATCTAGTATATTTTGGGATAATCTATTGTAGTTCGGTGATTTTTCGAGCTACAAAGCTCCAGTTCGGGTGATCTCTGGAAGCGATGCCCAGGAGTATTTGGACGGCGAGGATGATGGTTTGGGGCACCAAGATCTTCCCAAAGGCAGTTGATATACCAGGAAGCATCGTAAGCATCGTTCAATAGATTGGTTTAAGCATGTTTAAGCGAAAAGCTACAGGAAATCCTGTATCTTCCCATGAAATATAAAAACTATAGAGGGTTCCTGTATTTTTTTCCCTTAAACCAATCCATTGAATCGGAAAATCCGCCTGAGTTTACCCATAGATCCCAACTGAATTTTCCCCGGAGGTGACATATTGAGAGTTTCAGAGTATTTCCCCACCTGCCAGGTGAGGGTTGTTAGATTTTATCTAAGTTGCCTGGTCCTCCTCCTCCTCCTCCTCCTGCCGCCTCCTCCTCCTCCGCCTCCTCCTCCTCCTCCTCCTCTCGTTGTCCTCCTCGTCCTCCTGCTCAACTGCGACTCGCGATCCACAGTGTTCGCTGTCGGACCTCAACCACGACCATCCACGCCCAGTGTTCCCTGCCGGACCTCAACCGCGACCATCCACGCCCAGTGTTCCCTGCCGGACCTCAACCACGACCATCCACGCCCAGTGTTCCCTGCCGGACCTCAACCACGACCATCCACGCCCAGTGTTCCCTGCCGGACCTCAACCGCGAGTATCCATGCCAAGTGTTCCCTGCCGGACCTCATGTAGGAAGATATGGGACAAAGAATGTGCAGAAGAAAGTTAGAAAGAATGTCAGAAAGAATGTCAGAAGATATGCCAGAAGATATGCCAGATAGAATGCCAAATAGATTGCCAGATAGAATGCCAGAAAGAATGCCAGAAGATATGTCAGAATATATGCCAGAAGATATGCCAGATAGAATGCCAGATAATATGCCAGAAGATATGCCAGATAGAATGCCAGATAGAATGCCAGAAGATTTGCCAGATAGAATGCCAGAAAATATGCCAGAAGATATGCCAGATAGATATGTCAAAAGATATGCCAGAAGATATGCCAGAAGATATGCCAGAAGATATGTCAGAATATATGCCAGAAGATATGTCAGATAGAATGCCAGAAGATATGCCAGATCATATGCCAGAAGATATGCCAGATAGAATGCCAAATAGGATGTCAGAAGATATGTCAGATAGAATGCCAGAAGATTTGCCAGTAAGAAAATGTATAAATGTCATGGTGGGGATCACACGAAGTAAAGTAATTTTTCTTACAACCGATGAAAGTTGATGTTTAGGTGATATGGCAATAGAATCCATATCAGATTTTTGTTCTAGTTGCACATCCAAGAGTTTCAGGGAGGAATCAGAAGGCATAGCAATTTGCCCAAGTTTTCCGGCTGATTCCGGCTGTTGGTGACAGCCCTTTTCTGATGTTCATTGGTTTCTATTCCAACTGGCTGGTGCTGGCCCCCACACCTGAAACCTTCCCGCCTTCAGGTCAGCACTACTCAGAGGAAGAGGTGGGACTTCCCAAGTTGATGGTTTCAACCTGTTGGCCATTCAATTTGTGGGCCTTAAAAGGGGACTGTACCATGGTATACCCCCGTTTTCCGACACACCTGATCGTTATGTCATGTACTGATATCATTCGTTTGGAGTACCCCGCATTTGAATGCATTTGAGCCACACAGCACCGATTCACGCTATGAAGCAACAAACATATGTCGGAAGTGGCTCTTTGGAATATGTCATCATGATACATGAAGATAGTCTAGCTAATTTCCAAAAAGAGAAGAACCATCATATTCCATATAATATTGCAATTTTCCAAGATTTCCATAATAGTTTGCTATATCATGATACATGTAGCTAGTTTCTCATGGAATTCTGATCAGAAATTGTTGTGTTGTTTTGCTACGCTTGAAGTGTCAGCCACCTGGCTGGAAAATCATATTTCTCCGAAGATTTTGCCATGATACCCTCTGGTTATGACTAACAGTTCGCCATGGTATAGATGGCCCATAGAAATAGATGGTTTACCTGGGTTTACCGAACTTAAAAATTGTGATTTTCTATGTTACTATGTTACTATGTTTGTCATAACCAGATGGTAGTCCCATTCCCATTCCCTATTTTTATCGAGGATTTCCGCGAATGGTTTTCCCACTGATTTTACTGTTTTCCCATGGATGGTCCCATATCTTCCCATGACTTCCCCATTGTTTTCCCATATAATCCATATTAACCCATATATAACCCATATATATGTGTGGATATTCCATATATAACTGGGCTTCAACACCCATTAAACCCACACACACACAAAAAAAAAAAACACATTAATAGAACTGGTAAATATTGATGGCCATTGATGGTTTACTATATCCATAAATACTATTACCCTCTGGTAAACTAACAGATTGCTATTGAAAATTGTGATTTATAGTTGATTTACCCATTAAAAATGGTGGATCTTTCCATAGTTATGTTAGTTTACCAGAGGGTATATCCAGGATGATAATTCCCAATGATATATCATATCATATCATATATATATATATACATATATATATACTACTGTATTATATAAAATATATCCATAAATACGATTATACAGTGAATTCTTGTACAATACTCAAGCTTATATAAAATATATCCACAAATGCCAGTATATATTTATGGCATTGTTCGCCATGATCTTCCGATGATTTTCTGTCAGGTCCAGGCTGCGCAGCGGATCCAGGCGGCCCAGCGCGGATGCCAGGCCCGACAGGTCTACGCGACGCAGGCGCGGGGGCCACGATTGTTGGACGATTGGACGATTTTTAGAGGTGATTCCTAAGATGTTTTTAATGCTGATTGACTATCATGTGTTTAATGGATTTTAAGATATATAAATTATGATGATATGATTTTAAGATGAGTTGAAGATGACTTTAAGATGACTTTAAGATACATTAAGATGATGAACATGTTTTAAGATGATGCTGCAGTTGGTTAAGTCGTTGGTAAGTGGATGTTCATCCGTTTACCCAGTTATGTTGGGGGTTACTTCAACCACATGACACAAGCCCGCAAGAAAATGGGATATAGCATGTAGGTTCTTAACCACTTATCACTGGGAATTACCACTAAGATGTATTTTAGTTGTATATGGGATATACCCGAGGAATATATGGATTTACACGTTACCCTCTGTTTATTTAACATTGCTATTGAACATTGCCCGTTGGTTGATGTTTTGTGATGATTTGCATGTAACAAAAATGATTTTCCATAGCTATACCTTAAATTACCAGCGGGTATGAACAATATTCCTGCGTCCATCACCCCCAAGACGAAGATCCACTGTGGCTTAGGCGAGACGCGCAAGTGAGAAGGCAGGAGGGAAGCTCTAGAAGTGGGGCTGAGGGTCCAGTTGGTTGATGCGAACCTCGACTTGCAGAAGGATTTGATGGGATCAAGTGGTATATATACACATATATATAATATATATAATATATAATATATAATATATAATATATAATATATATATATAATATATATATTATATTATATAATATAAATATATGGGGGCAAGTCAAAATAGGAGGTCCGGAACAAGCTCCGGGACCACACCCGTTCCATACCCCCGTTCCATACCCCCGTTCCATACCTCCTTGAAGGATCCGTTCCATACCTCTGTTCCATACCTCTGTTCCATACCTCTGTTCCATACCTCTGATCCATACGTTAATATATATATATATAATTATATATAATTATATATAATTAATATTATTATTTATTATTATATATATATACAATTATATATATATATATTTGATTATGTGCAATCTGATTTTACATTTGTACGCACATATATGAGCGCACGTACATACATGAGTGCATACATGCAAGAATACGTTTACTATGCCCAAGCCCTGTGATTGTGTTTGCAAGTCTGTGCCTGCAGCACTTACAGCTGCTACCTACTTTGTTGTGTGATGGTTGGGATGTGCTTGGCTGCTGCCAGCTGGCAGTCTAAGAATGGATTGCTTGTAACCCTCCCTCCCTCTCAACCTGTGGCAGGTTTGTGCCTGCACCACTTAAAGTTGCTGCAGGCTGTGGCACAGCTGTGGTGTTTGATTGTAGAGATGCGCTTGGCTGCTGCCAGCTGGCAGTTTAAGAATTGCTTGCTGCGCTATTCTCGCTCCAAACTGCGAATTTTGATAAAGATGTGCTGCGTGGTGGCAGTGCTGTGCTGGAGTGGGCCGTTTCGTTCCAGACCCCGTTCCATACCGTTCCATACCCGTTCCAGACCTGGACCACCCATGTACCACCCCTGACCCACTGGTAAACACATGGCAGGTTCTCACATAGACTGCTTGTAAGCCATCCTTTGCGCGTGGGTTATGGGAGGGTAGAGTCTTGCTATGCAGGGACACAATCTACCCCATAGGGACCTGAGTTTTAAGAGTAGGAGGTGGGACCTGCGTGACAGGTCTGAAGCTGAGTCGACAGCTTCACATGTTAGCCAGTGGGTGACACTGGCTACCGGTCGTGTCGTATCTAGTGCACGAGCACTAGCCATGCAAGGCAAACCTGCGTTGAACAGGTGTACAAAAAGGATGTCGTGCAGATGAGGAGTAGCTTCAACGTGCATATCCTTGAGATGTATATTATATATGTTACATATAATGTATATATATAGATATATATATATATAAATATATATATATATTTATGTATAGCCTATATTTCATCACACTCCAAAGGTCCGGAACAAGACCAGTTACGAAGCCCCTTCGTTCCATACGTCCGGAACACCGCGGAACGTTCCACACACAATTTTGACTCGGGACCATATATATATATATATATACAAAAGGGGCTACGCCCCCTGCCGCCGACCCCAGAGGCTGGGGATGGATGATTTTGTTGGGCCTGCAGCTGGTCGTGCCTAACGTCGCTTTCTGAACCCACAAGAAATTAGCTCCAAAATTACTGCCCAAGCTTTCAAAACGGACTTCCTCGCTACACTCAAACACTATGGCAGTGAAGGACGGATGGCGCCTGCGTAACGTTGCTTTCTGAATCCACAAGAAACTAGCTCCAAAATGATTGCCCAGGCTTCCAAAATGAACACCCATGCCACACTGTTGCTCACTAGCGTGCTTTTGTCTTGCTGCTCTCTTGTCTCCTTGCTTGCACCTGGTGTTTTCTTGTTTGTCTCTTGCTCTTGTAACTTGCTGCTGCCCGTCGGCTTTCTTTCGTCTTCCTTATCTCTTTTGCTTCCGCCTTGCTCGCTTGCTCTTGCTCCTTGCTTTCTTCTTTTGTCTGCTTCCCTCTCTCTGGCTCTTGCAGTTTGCTCTCATCATCTCTTACCCTTGGCTGAGAGAATGTCTTCTCTGACGCGCTCCCCCTCGCCGTCGGCGGGGTCGGCGGATATATATGTAATCAGATTCTACTACAATGGTAGAATCTGATTTTTCTCTATATATTATTTATAATTGTATTTAAAAATGTATACATTATTTTCATACTATATAAGAAAATAGTAACTTTACTGTTCCATTTTTTTGGTTTGATTCTTGTACTCTATTTTGGGACAAAACCGTAGGGTCCAGCCGGTCAACCAGTAAGTTCCAGGCAGCCGCTGAGAAAATTCAGGCTGCTTTGCATGGTCGCATGGTGCGTGAACAGCAGGCGGCGGCAAATCTGGGTCTGAAACTGGGGGATACGTTGTAGCCAAAATAGAGGTTTCCACTGACAACATGATCATTAATGATAGAAACGTGTTTATCAAATGGATGGAAATGAGGTTTTAATGCATCAAAAATGGAGGTAACATGAGGTAACCAAGTTTCAAACACACCCATCGGGGTGTTGAAACATCTGACACAGAGAGAGAGAGAGAGAGACTTGAGGCAGAAGCTAGGCTGGAAGCAGCAAGACCCCGACAAAGCTAATATATTATGATATATTATGTATATGTAGCATTTACAACGTTTCTGGGTCAGCGCGGAAACATTCGTGTTTTTCCTGCTCAGCTCCCAAAAAAACAGGCCAGTTCAGATGGTTTGTAAATCGATCATCAGCGGGTTTGGACATCCAACGAATTCTTGGGTATAATTACGTACAATTACCATTCATTGGATGATACTTTCCATATTCTATGCATTATTTACCTACATTGCACAACTGGGTTATTTTGGGGTTACTCATTAGGCGAATGTTGATGTAGCATGCGGGGTTATGACCTTGACTGACAGGGCCACGGACACCTATTTAATAGGTTTGTCGACATCAAATCCAGATGGATCCTATATTTGGTATTTTGGTGGGCTTAAAGCCTGTCTAATCGGTAGTTGTTTGTTTTGAAGCGATTTGACCCCATCAACATATCCGCAGCTTGGACATATGTTCATCGATTGTTAATAATTGTTGGTGGAATATCCAATTTGATCCAGTTTGATTGCCTTGCTCAACAACTGCATGTTCTCTACCCATCCTGAAGTAGATAGAATCTGGTAGAAAATGCAATTTGACCACCCTCAAGGTCAGAAAATCATCCGAATCTTCGAATATAGAATATCTCTTATTGAAGTGCAATGATGTGTATATGAATACTGTGTGTATATATATATACATATATGCAAAAGATACGAAACAGAAAGCCTACTGCATCTGGATACTCTACTCCAAGATGACGATCGCATTTGGTTACGCCAGGCTGCCGCAGCGAGGATCCAAGCGTGCTACCAGGGTCGGATGGTTCGAGAGGCCACAAGATGGCCCCGTTGGATGATTTACAGGGGAATGGATTGGTTTGTTGGGGACAATCTTAACCGGATTTTCCATGGATTTTCCCATGAAGATCATGGGGTTTTCCATGGTTTTCCTGTAAAAGTTCCCTTAAACCAATCCATTGATTTCCCGGGGAATGTTGGGTAATGTTGGGAATACATTGGGGAATACAACGGAGAGGGCATCACTGAATCCCGTTCTGAACACGAAAAACCGGGATTTCTTGGACTGAACTGAAGGATTTTGACATGAAATGACTTGACATGAATTACCCTCTGGTAAATTAACATAGACCCTGAAAAAAACGCCTAGTTTTAATGGAAACTAAGAATTTCCAACCCCGATGGCTGCCAGGGTCGTCATGTTAATTTACCAGAGGGTAACCATGGGGATAGTTTTTCGTCAACAAGATTTGCGGGGAGAAACACTGCGAAACGAGGAAGATCGCTGCTCCGATTTTGTTGATCCCAGTATGTGGACAACGGCGCCGCGTGCCTTTGTGCTTAGGATTGCGTTCTGAACAGTGGAGCTACGCCCAAAAAGGCGTCATTTTCAGTAAGGGAGAGGCAATATTGATCTCCCAATGACTAGCAAAAGCTAACCCTGCGTGTAAGCAAGAACTGTGAATAACTGTGAGCATGTGAGCGACGAGCACGCTATCATGCAAGCATTCCCTTACCGCCTTGCGAGATGCAATACCTTTTGATCCCGGTCGTATATTCAGAAGGATTTCTCTGAAATTTCTGGTATGTTTGGACAGTCTATGACGCATACACACACAAATCAACAGCCTTGAGTTGCACTATAATTACAATTATTTTTTTACCTAGTTTTAGCATGCTTTAACATGTTTTTGCCTATGTGGGTGGAATTGAGCATTTATTAGGGGGCGGGCGAAGGGAATACTTAAATGAAACCCTCTGTCCATGGAGCTTTTAAAAAGCATGCGGCCAGACCATGGTAATGGGTGGTTATATTGCCCATCACCAAGTGCACACGACTTTCCAAGGGTTACCCAGGCAAGTTCCTCCCGATCACATGTGCCACCCATGGCCAATAAGTAGGGTAGGGTCTAGGGCTCAGAACTTTGCATTGAAGTCCCAAATCAGTTTGCTAAACAAATACCTTTTTTCCGTTGCGGCCGATTATGGGGCATGAGATCTGCTGAACAAAAAAAAGCGGCGGAAAATTGAGATCCTGTGGCCCCGAATCGATTGCAAAAAAAAATGCAGACTTTAGTTTTGTTTCTTTTTCAGCGGAACTCCACTACACAAATTGTGTACCTGACTTCTGCTGAAAAAAAATTCTCGGCGGAACTTAGTATTCAGACCTATGGTTCGGCGGAACTCATCTTCTGGTTTTTTGTAGTGGACTTCTGCTGATTCAATGCTTTTCCCTAGGATTTCTGCTGAAAATATTTTTTTCGGCGGAACTCAACATCACAAAATGTGCGCCTGAGTTCTGCTGATCTGTTTTTTTTTTCGGCGGAAATCCATAAATCTGGTGATGCATGACTACACATGATTCCCTGCTGCATGTTCATTTCCCAATGTGAAATTTAACCTGTACTAGCCGCAATGGCAAATGATCTAGGATCCTGACTTTGAGGACCTTGAGGCTTGAAAATCGGTCTACCTAACCATGAAAATGGATTAACGCTTCTTGCTCACGTGGGCATTTGGAATGTGAACAGTGCGTGCTGGGTACATGAACATGTTTGCAGAACAGAACGTACATAGCTATGTTCAAGATAAATCACAAAGATACAAATATTTACGTGGAACATAGAGCAAGTCGCTGTATGTTTATTTTTTGGGAATTATCTATATGACTATAAGCGGTTATAATTATGCACTGGTTTCATTCAAAATCCTTTAGTTAATAAATAGAAATTGTATATCTTTTGGTAATGGTTTTTGCCATTTTCAAGTTTTCCACCACATATTTCAAACTGAGTCCTGGCTAATGTGATTATTGACCCTAGCTGGTAACATGGTGAAATCATGAAAGAGGCCATGTGTTTGAGGCTTTAAATTAGGTTGCTACAAAATCAATGTGAAACTATATGTATTTTTTTTTGTATATAGGTACTTTGGTCCTGATTAGGGAGTCCCTTCGGTAGAAAATTGTGCTTGACCTTGGTTGAATATAATTTCAAAGAAAGGCGCTTATCAGGGAACTTCTTCGCCAAGCGCGTTTTAATTAATGTTTGTATTGGGGCGACGCTACAGATTGTACATGATTGGACAATTGGCTTCTTAGTGAAGGAATTTGATTCTTATTGGTATTATTAGGAACCTCTTCGGCGAGCATATGTTGATTTACGTTCGTATGTCGATATTATTGATTAACTTGGCATGGTTTTGGTCCAAGTGCTGCTTTCAGATTCCAGGTCCGGGTGTGCGCAGGCCTCTCCTGTATAACAAATGTCGCACTTGTACTATCTTGTACTAATTCATAACATACAGTTTGACTGCCCAGGGAGTTCTAACTATGGGGAGCACTAGGATATGAAGAAATACATGGTTCAATTCAGACCTAACAGTGATGTCCCCAAATCAAAGTCAGCTGCCCCATAATCGACTGCAAAAGTTTATATATAATAATTGAGCATCTATTTCGCCGGTTTTGTATCTCTTTCAGGGAACTGTTGCATAGAGACGCAAAAAATATGAACTCTGCACTCTGCTTATCAATTACTGTGAAATCACCCCACTGACCCCTTGAATCTCAGGCGGCGAGGATGCCATGCCACAATCAGCTCTACGAGGCCGGCACCCCAAGAATTGCTGCCGTTTGGAAGAAACCACAGCCGGATTTGGGCACCCGGCAACTGGGGGAGCATCGAATCCATCATTTTGGTCCAGGTCATGGTTTGGTTTTGCAATGTTTTACCCACGTAGGAGTGCAGCAGTGCTGATATCTGATTAATAACGCCCTCAAACATACCTGGGGCCTAAGTAATGTTGAGGCAAAACATACTTCTGGGCACCCCAGACATGGAGTGACATAAAGCTCTCTGGCTAATTGAGAAATGTATTCTTGGAAAGCTGTTGTGAATGCAGATTAATATTATGTTCAAATTTGAGTTTCGAAATTGAGTTTGACTTGGGTTTGATCGGATTTGAATTCGAACTGAAATAATTAGACTGAAGTTAAAGTGAAATTCAGTTGGATTCAATCTTGAATCAAATTTGAACCAATTCTAACTTGAACCT